CGCAGTCGCCGTTGGGCAGGGAGGATGCTGCCGGGTTGGTCTCGGCGAACGCCATGGCTCCGCTGAGGCGGCGAGGACAGCCCGAAGGGGACGCGGCCAACGAGGAGTGCGCGAACTAAACCGCTCTGCGGCCGCCAGCCACATGCGGAGGAAGAAGGAGCCAGAGGCCGGCCCCGCCCCCGCCCCCGCCCCGCCGGGCCGCCACCCTCCAGCCAGGCCCCGCCCCGCTCTCCGCCGCGGCCCGCTCACGGGGCGACCACGACTGCCCCGCGCAGGCCAACCTCGGCAGCACCACCCGCACAACAAGCCCGCCACCCGGGCGAGGCCGCGCCCCTTCCGCGGCCAGGCGCGCCACTCCAGCGCGGACCCCGCGAGCGGAAGGGGCAGGGGCGGGGCTTCAGTCGCGCTTCACCTCCAACGCCCCGCCCACTCCCCCGTCCTCCCGCTTTCAAACTTCAGAGGCGCGGAGGTGCGTCGGACTACAGCTCCCGGCATGCAGCGCTCTGGGCTGCGGCGCCGTAGTCCCGTGCCCCGGTGTCCCGGTGTCTGCCATCTGCCGGTTTCCGTCTCTGGAAACGTTCGTTTTTGTTTTAAAAGATTGATTTCTATTAAGGGCTGAGATACTGTACATAGAATGAAAAAGGTGCGATTTTAAAATGCAAACAAGAAATGAGAACGTGTACCTTCAGGGATGGAAAGTAAAATTCCACAGTAAGAGCAGAGATGGAGGCACAGGTCAAAAAGGGCAAACTCAAAAGTAAGGCACAGGATATTAGCTCAGGAAATCTAGAGATCAAGTAGAGCCCTTACCCTTCTTATGCTACACGTTAGTGATAAAGGCTCAGGCTCCGAGAGGAAGGAATTATCTGTTAATTATGTACAGATGAGAGTACACCAGTAAGGTCATAGAAAAATGGAGTTAAAGCGCTAGTTTATGATGGCGCAAAAAATTTTGAAATCCTTGCATAGTTTTTTCATAACACATTTTCCACGAGCTTCTTCAAGTGCTCCTGTACTATGATGAAATTCTGAATTCCTCACAACCTTGCAGATACGGTAGGTGATACTATCTTATCCTTATTTTGCAGGATGAAAGCGAGGTCGCTAGGTAGGCATTTGGAGCAGCAGTAAAGATGCTGTTTGCGATGCCCACATTCCATATCTGAGTGCCTGGCTTAGCTTCCCAGCCCGCCTCACTGCTAACGTGGTTCCTGGAAGGCAGCAAGTGATGGTGCAGGTGCTTGTGCTAGCGCCCATGTGACAGACCTGCGTTGAGTGCCAGGGTGCTGGTTTCAGCCTGCTGCAGCCCCAGATATTGTAGGTATTTGAGGAATAAACCACTAGAGGAAATTCTCTCTCTCTCCTCCCCCTGCCTCCCTCCCTTTCAACTTTCCAAATAAATAATTTTTGTTTTGTTTTGTTTTCAAGTCAATGTGTTTTTAATTTAAAAATGGAGCTGTTGCACAGCTGGTTAAGCAACTTCTTGGGACACCTATATCCCACATTAGAGTGCCAGTTGGAGTCCCAGCTGTTGTTCTTCCAATCCAGCTTCCTACTAATGTATCCTGAGAGGTAGCAGATGATGCTTCCAGAGCTTGATCCCCTGCCCACCCACGTGGGAGACCCAGAGAGAGTTCCTGCCTCCTACGTTTGGCCTGGCCCAGCTCTCACTGTTATGATCATTTGGGAAGTATATGGGTAGATGAAAGATACTTCTTTCTCTCTCTCTCTCTTTCTGTCTCTCTCTCTCTCTCTCATTCTGCCTTTGAAGTACATAAAAATAAACATTACAAAACATTTTAATAAAAGCTAGGTAACTTGATGCAGTGGGCTGTGAATTGGTACCTAGACAGAGCCCAGAGCCCAGTCCCTTACTGAATAGCCTACTCATTACTTCTAAGTGCCTTTCAGTGCTAGATTATAGAGTATGTCTACTGTTGACCCTTTCAGTTGCACAGAAATTAACTACACATCTCATTAAGATAAAAATTGCTTGGGAAAAGGTGGGAATAGAATCGTGTCATATGTAGTGTCTCCCAAATCATATACGACACCACATTCTCTAATGATCTTTCAAGGCGTTTCAGTATTTTTTTTTAAGATTTATTTATTTTACTTGAAAGAGTTACACAGAAGAGAAGGAGAGGCAGAGAGAGAGAGAGAGAGAGAGAGAGAGAGAGAGAGAGGTGTCCACTGGTTCACTCCCCAATTGGTCACAACGATCAGAGCTGTTCCAGTCTGAAGCCAGGAGCCAGGAGCTTCCTCTGGGTCTCCCACGCGGGTGCAGGGGCCCAAGGACTTGGGCCACCTTCTACTGCTTTCCCAGGTCACAGCAGATTGTAGCAAGTGCCCAGTGTTGAGCATGCAGTAGGTGCTCAATAAGCAACGCATTACTCTTCAGCTCTGCTCCCTTCAGAAGTCTGTGGCAGCACGCTTTGCTCCCTGGCACGCTCTGCAGGAACGCCTTTGCTATGGCAGTGGTGCTGGAGTCTCGGGAAGAACTGGGCGAAAACCTACACTCAGAAGACGCCAGAGTCACGCCTTTCCGCAAACCTGGTTTACACTTGCGCGCTCCCGCCAGCCGTCCGGCCTCCGCACACTTCCTCGCGCGGCTGGACACGTGCCCCTGCCCTGGCGCGCCTGTGCAGTCCGCAGCCCCAGCACCGCGCGGAGCCCAACGGGCACTGGCGAGGCCGTTGGGCCGAGGTGGAGCCGGTGCCATGGCGACCCCGGGAGTGGCGGTGCTGCTGTCGTGGCTGAGCTGCTGTGGCTGGGCCTTGTGGAGGTAGAGAGACACCCCGTTCCCGCGCCCCGTGAGTCCACGGCCCGCTCGCCCTGGCAGTCCTCGTGCCAGAGGGTGTTGCGGGGCGTTGGTGTTGCGGGGCCCTGGCACGCCAAGAGCCCTTAGGGATTCTGCTTTCCCGCTGCGGGACCCCTGGGCCCTAGAGGAGAATAGTGAATGGGAACCAGGAAGCCTCTCGCAGTGGGCAGGGAGGAGGCACTATCCCAAGGCAGCTAGGGGGAACCAGCAGCCTAGGCCGGGTAGTTGCTTTCTAAAACATAACCACCGTGCAAATGGAAGGTGCGTTGACGATGGGGGTAACTAACGTGCTCCAAGTTCTGGAAGATTCACCAGGCAAATTTGACTGTTGTTCAGTATGTAGTGCTGGCAGCGTTGCAAAGGGTATGGAATTGTTTTAGATGGCCGGCTTTTGGCTCAGTGGTTAAGACTGCCTGCACTTGTACTGGCACATCCCATACAGGAGCGCCTGGGGTTCAAGTACTAGCTCTGCTCCCCATTCCAGCCTCCTGCTAATACAGAATCTGGGAGGCAGCAGGTAATGGCTCAAGTAGTTAGATCCCGCCATCCACGCGACAGACCTGAATTCTGCACTGCTGGCTTGGAAATGACCCAGCCCTGGCCCTTGTGGGTATTTGGGGAGTGAACCAAGGATGACAGGTCTTTCTGTCTGTCCCTTTGCCTCTTAAATAAATAAATATATATTGCAATTTTAGAAATATTTTTCACTATATGTTAAAACACAGATGATTAACCAGAAAAATCACATCCTATGAATATTCTGTTTTCACCATACTGATAATCATTGCCTGTAACATAAAAGGTTAAGAATACTAATAAATCAAACCATGGTAGTGGTTTCAGAGGGAAGAGACATCTCATTGGAAAGAAGAGATCAAATAAAAAGTAATAATAGGAACCAGCATTGTGGTACAGTGGGTTTCACTGCCATTTGCTGCACCAGCATGTAATATCAAGAGTAGTGGTTGGAGGCATGGCTACACCACTCCCAAACCAACTTCCTGCTAATGTGCACATGATGGCCCAAATGCTCAGCCACCTGCCACTGATGTGGGAAACTAGGATGGGTTCCTGGCTTCAGCTTGGCTGTTGAGGCCATTTGGGGAGTGAGTCAGCTAATGGAAGGTTTGTCTCTCTGTCTGTTTGTCTGTCTCTCTCACACACACAGGCTCCCCACTCCCTCTTACTTTCTTTCTGTGCCTCTTCCTCTCTCTGTCTCTCTGCCTTTCAAATAAATAAATGAGTCAATGAAGTAATGAGTAAGAGCAAAAATGTTGCATTTTGACAGAATTTTGTTAAGTTCATTTTGTCTTCTGGATAATGAAGATAATTTTTAAAAAAGATTTGTTCATTTGAAAGGCAGAGTTCCAGAGGCAGAGGAGTGGGTAGACAGAAAGAGTGAGCAGTCTTCCATCTGCTGGTTCACTCCCCAAATGGCCAAAAGGCCAAAACCAGGATCCTGGAATTCCACCTGGGTCTCCTATGTGGGTGGCAGGAGCCCAAGCACCTGGGCCATCTGTTGCTGCCTTCCCAGGTTCCCAGGTGCATAACGGGGGAGCTGGATTGGATGTGGAGCAGCCAGGAGTTGAACTGGTGCTCAAGTGGCTTAACCTGTGTGGCCACAGCACTGACCCCAGCAACGAAGATAATGAAACCATAGGGTTGTTGTGAGGCTTGGCTGCAATGATAGGAGTATGGTTAGAGTTCTTAGCACAAGCAAGCAATGGATCGATAAATAGTGACACCTGATGTTCCTAAGGACAGCCCCTGAACCCATTTATAAGCTTTTGTTATGTTGAACACCCCAAGTCACCAAACGTTTCTACAAGAGACCAGACAGTAAATCTTTTAGGCTTTTCAGACAATGCCATTTATGTTACAGCTACTCAAATCTGTCCTAGGAGGAGACAGCACACACCAACAATGGTGGACAAATGGGTGTGGCTGTGTGCCAATAAAAGTACGACAACCTGTGGAATTTGACTCACAGGGCATAGTTTCTCAATCCCTGATCTATGATTGAAGGAAGTAGTAACTGTGGTGGAATGAGAAGGCCATGCCAAGATGGCCGCTGGCAAGCAAGCATCAGTTACTCAGGAATGGCTTCGAAACCCTCCTGGCAATGGAGCCTGCCTGGCAATAGGCTGTGATTGGATGGCTTTGGATACTGCTTGGCAACAGGCTGTGATTGGATGGCTTTGGTTACTGCCTGGCAACAGGCTGTGATTGGTTAGGGCAATTGACTGGATTGGCTGCCTTGGCTATTTAAGCTGCTGTACCAACTGAAATAAACGAGTCTGCGGGCTGCTCACCTCTGACCCCACTTTCACCGGACTCCCGGGGTCTGTGTAGTGACTCCGTGCCTCTTGCCCCCACCATGCTCCTTCTCAATCCCTGAACTATGATTGAAGGAAGTAGTAACTTTCAATTAGAGGTTAGAGAAAACAAAGATTTTATTTTTCCTTTTGGAAATGAGAGATCCCCGGATTTTACTTCTTAAAATTTTGTTTGAAAGGAGGGAGAGAGTGAGTGAGAGCAGGAGCTTCCTTCTGCTGATTCACTCTCCAAATGCATGCAACTATCAGGGCTGGGCCAGGCTACAGTCAGGAAGTAGGTACTCCATCCAGGTCTCCCACTTGGGTGACACGAACCCAGCTATATTTGAGCCATCCTCTGCTGCATCTTATAGCTCACATTAGCAGGATGCTGGATCAGAGGCAATGTTGCCAAACTTGCACCAGGCGTTGGATGTGGAATCCAGGCATCCCAAGCAGTCTTAACTGCTTCACCAAATGACCACCCCAGTGCAAAATTTTAGATCTCCCCCTTAATACTTTTTAATATTTTTTCTCTCCTGAATCATCAGCCATCATAGTCTCCCTTTTTGTCCACCCGCTGAGATGTATAAAGGCTTCTGGTATCCCTGGGATTCGGTTGAGGTGTTAAGGCAGCCAGAGCTTGCCTATACACCAACTTGAAACCAATTCAATGAAAGTACACACCGTAAGAATGAAGAAATAATTTCCTATGTTTCTTCTTGTGCTTTTAATGTGGATACTGGAAAGTTTTTAGTTAGAAAGGTGGGTTGTATTATATTGCTCTTGGACAGTGCTGCTTTAGGTGGGATTACGCAGACAGAAATTAGAATCCCATATAATAGCAAAAAACAATAATGGACAAGGACTAACAGAAATTTCCTTTCTCCTTCAGTGTTCTAGACAAGAAACACTGGTTTAAAATTATTTTTAAAGGATTTTTATTTTTTTAAAGATTTATTTATTTATTTGAAAGGTGAAGTTGCAGAGAGAGAGAAGTCTTCCATCCACTGGTTCACTCTCCAAATGGTCACAATGGCCAAAGCTGGGCTGATCCAACCAGGAGCCAGGATCTTCTTCCAGGTCTCTCACTTGGGTTCAGGGGCACAAGCACTTGGGCCATCTTCCGCTGCTTTCCCAGGGCATAGCAGAGAGCTGGATCAGAAGTGGAGCAGCTGGGACTAGAACTGGTGCTGATATGGATGCCTACACAGCAAATAGTGGCTTTACCCACTATGCCACAGTCCCAGCCCCTAAAAAATATTTTTATTAAATTTAATTCAATTTATAAATGGATTTAGAGCCAATATTCTTCAACAGTTTTTATCCTAACAAAAATGAAGTGAGGAAGGCAGAGGGAGGGGTGGAGGGAGGTAGAAGAAAGAGTATTCGCTGCCCATTTCATTTGAGTGTCTTCAGATATTGCACAAAACCTAACATATCTAGAGTGGTAGGTAGATGTTACTGATGGTCTCAAGTTTATCCCTGTGTTCACTTTCCAGGAAGGGGTTTATGCAGAAAGATAAAGTTCTTGGCAATCCAAATATGCCCTGATCATGTATAGACTCATATTTGGAGGAGAAATTAGTCTTAATATTCTTATTTGGCCTTTTCCTCTACAGGTATTCCAGTAACAGCCCGAACTATCTCATTTTTAGTACCAGAAGTACTGTAAGTGTTGACTTCTTTAAAAAAATTTTTAAGATTTATTTGAAAGGCAGAGTTACAGACAGAAACAGGGGTCCTCCATCTGCTGGTTTGTTCACCAAATGGCTGCAACTACCAGAGCTGGGCTGCTCTGAGTCCAGGAGCTTTTTCCAGGTCTTCCACGAGGGTGTGGGGGCCCAAGCACTTGGGCCACTTTCCATTGCTTTCCCAGGACATTAGCAGGGATCTGGATCAGAGGTGGAGCTACTGGGACATGAACTGGTGCCCATATGGGATGCCAGTGCCATAGGCAGAGGCTTTGAATGCCTGCCCCTTTCTCTTATTTAAGTCAGTCTCATTGCTACATAGGCTATTGTGATTTTCAGTTCTCTGGTGACTAGACATTTTGAGCACTCTTCACATAGTTACACAGGATTCTTCTGTGAATTGCCTGTTTGTAGCTTTTGCCCCTTTTCTATTTAAGTTTCTACCTATTTCTGTTGATGTAGAGAGTGCTGTCTATATTCTACTCCATATGTTAATCAGGTATTGATTTCAAACACTTAACCTTAAACATTATCCATGGATACTAAATAAATTTGGGGGGAAAAAGCTGAATTTTGATGAACCAGTTTCCTCCCCACTTTTACCTTACTTTTGGTGGATCTTATTTAAGAAAAAAATCTTTGCTTACCCGGACTTGCAAATATTTTTCTAATACATTTCCTTATTCATTAGTAGCCTCTCTTTCTTGTGTCTTTATTTTCACTTTCCTACTCATTTAGTTTTCTTCTCTCTGTGTTTCTGTTCCCTATAGATCCTTGAAGTAGAAGGCATCTTTGGCTGATTGGTTTATTTTTAGTTTTTGTTTTTTTAAAGATTTAATTTTTTGAAAGGCAAAATAACAGAGATCTTCCATCTGCTGATTCACTCCCCAAATGGCCACAACAGCCATATCTGGGCCAGGCAGAAGCCAGAAGCCAGGAACTCCAGCCAGGTCTCCCACATGGCTGGAAGGGCTCAAATAATTGGTCTATCTTCTACTGCCTTCTCAGGCAGCATTAGCAGGAAGTTGGATCAGAAGCAGAACAACCGAACTCATACTGGCACTCCAGTATGGAATGCCAATGTCACAAGCCTTGCTTAACCTACTGTACCGCAACATCGGCCCCTCTGTGTTTTTTTTTGTTTTGTTTTGTTTGTTTGTTTGTTTGTTTTTGAAAGGTACAGAGAGAAAAATGAGAGAGATCTTCCATCTGCTGGCTCACTCACCAAATACCTGAAAGACTGGGCCAGGCAAAACCCAGGAGTGTGGAACTCAATCCAGGTCTCCCACATAGGTGGCAGAGACCCAAATACTTGAACCATCATTTCCTGCCTCCCAGGGTGCACATTAGCAGGCAGCTGGAATTGGAAGTGAAACCAGGACTTCAATCTAAGCATTCTGATCTGGGACATAGTGTCTTTTTTTTTATGTTGTTACTTTATTTTTTTTCTTTTTTTAAACTTTTATTTAATGAATATAAACTTCCAAAGTACAGCTTATGGATTACAAAGGCCATAACTTCCCTCCCACCCACAACCCTCCCCTTTCCCGCTCCCTCTCCCCTTCCATTCACATCAAGATTCATTTTCAATTCTCTTTATATACAGAAGATCATAGTGTCTTAGCTGCTGTGCCAAACACCTACCCCTGACTGATTGGTTTTAGAGTTTTTAGGTCCCGGATCCTCCTGTCCTTTCAGATTTCTCATACTTACTCTGTTATATTTTTCTTTATGTTTTAAACTTTCATCTTCTGATTAATTGTTCTCATTTTTCTTCTTATACACTGTCATTACTCTTATAATAGCAAACCTATGAAACAACTGGTATTATAATCATTTACAATTTTAAAACTGAAGTGACATTTATATATGTATTTGTACATACAAATATATATATATGTGTGTGTATATATATGATTTTCATGTAATAAATATAAGAAGGTAAAATCGGGTTACAACTCTGGCTTGAAGAAAGGGACCAGTACTGAAGCTAAGACTGACAGTGTAAGAAAGTTGGTCAGTATGCTTCAAGAAGAGAATGAATTTATAAATTAAAAAATGGGAAGACTTATTTATTTATTTGGAAGGCAGAGTTACAGAGAGGGAGAGGGAGAGACAGATCTCCCATCCACTGGTTCACTCCCCAGTTGGCTGCAATGGCTGGAACTGGGCCAGGCCGCAGCCAGGAACCAGGACATTCCTCTTGGTCTCCCACGTGGATGCAGGGGCCCAAGCTCTTGGGCCATCTTCTGCCACTTTCCCAGGAGCATTAGCAGGGAGCTGGATAGAAACTGGAGCAGCCAGAACTCGAACAGGTGCCTGTATGGGACGCTGACACTGCAGGTGGAGGCTTTATCTGCTGTACCACAACACCAGCACTGTCGTTCATTTTTTAATCCCAGAACCTACCAAGGTACCAGCCTCCTTCTATATGCTTAATAGATTACTTCAGAAATAAAATTAAATTAAAAACTTGAGTGTTTGGGAGAGACTATTGAGTATTCCATGAAGGTTAGTAGCCTTTTCCTTTATCATATTAGTTTATATAATTTCACAGGAATTGAATTTGTCATTCTTTCTGTAAAAAATAAGGACCCAGAAAATTTATACAACTGAACACTGAGGTGAAAATGTTGAAGCATTTTTTTTTTGTTCAAACTCATTTCCTTTCTCTTTTAGATTAATTTAGAGTATGAAGGAACAGCATTTTCTGAGTGGAGTGTGCCAGAAAGTTGCTCTATCCAAGATAAAAGGTGATATGATATTTTTGCTATACATATTCAGTATATGTTTATTTACACATAAAAATGCATTCATATAGTATAGACAGATATAAGATAATTAGTGTAAATTTCCTTCCATTAAATAGATATGATAAGAAAAAATACTTTGAAACACTATATGAGTATGATATTGCTATATTTTAAAATTTCTCGGGGCCGGTGCCGTAGCACACTAGGTTAATCTTCCGCCTGCGGCGCCAGCATCCCATATGGGCACCGGGTTCTAGTCCCAGTTGTTCCTCTTCCAGTCCAGCTCTCTGCTGTGGCCCAGGAAAGCAGTGGAGGATGGCCCAAGTGCTTGGGCCTCTACACCACATGGGAGACCAGGAAGCGGCACCTGGCTTCTGGCTTCAGATGGGCGTAGCCCCGGCTGTTGCGGCCATTTGAAGGGTGAACCATAAGATGGAAGGCCTTTCTGTCTGTCTCTCACTGTCTGTAACTCTACCTGTTAAATAAATAAATAAAAAATCTTTTTAAAAATTTCTCTAATCAGCATATAGTTGGAGATTCTAGGCTTAAAATAGTGTGTGGAGGGTTTGTTAATCTCATGTGCATCTATCGTTATTTTTTCTTTCCTATTCTTTTAACTACTAGGTCTCCCAGGACAGAATTGCGTTGTTCTTCTCCTGGTTTTCAAGCTATAAAACCAATTGTTACAGGCCCAGTAAGTTGATTTTAATGATAACTTATTACATCTTAAATAATTGTTCCTGTTATTTTATTTTGCATTTATTTTGAAATTTTCAACCAAATTTAACCTGCTTTAAATAGTATTTATTGTAAGTATGAATAAGAACTATTTTATTTGTATATTTATGGATTTGTTTACTTTTTTTTATTTGAAAGGCAAAGAGACAGACAGATCTTCCATCTGCTGGTTCACTCCCCAGATGCCTACACAGCTGGGGCTGAGTAAGACTGAGCCAAGAGCCTGGATGTAGATGCAGATCATCCAAATGAGTGACAGTGACCCAAGTACTTGAAACATCATCTGCTGCCTCCCAGAGCCTGCATTAGCAGGCAGCTGGAATCAGAAGCATAGCCACTGTGCACAGTTAGACGGGTTGATAGGCAGTCAGGTCTGCTCCCTGTCAGAATGAAAAAGGGACAAAATTGCTCCAAGAGTGGGAAAATACTTGCTTCTTCCCAGAGGCTGCCTAAGGCGACTCTTAGTTTTATTATGAAAGCAGGCTAGACATAGTTATTAATCCCTGCCTTCTGATACATTGTTTTTCTGGCCTCCTGATAAGTTGTTATTCTGCCCTTCTGATTGGTTAAATCTGTACTCACTTCTCAGAAAGAGGCCAGAGGGAGCCACTTTGTGTATAAAAGAACCAGCACTTGCAAGCTTCTCTGGCAACTCCTCCCGTGGAGACCCCTCCTGACTGCTGCAACAGGAGATTTCTTGCTTTCAGTAAACTGCTTTGCTTACTTTGCCTGTCTGCATGGAAATTCTTCTATGTGAGACAAGAGCCTGCATCGCATGGGCACTCTGATACAGGATGCAGGTGTCTCGAATGGTATCTTAAACACTGTACCGAATGCCTTCCCCATAAAAAGAGCTATTTTAAAGTTAGTATCGGTATATTGTTAATTTTTAGGTATATCATGCTAGAGCTGGCATTGTGGTGCAGGAGGTTAAGCTACCACCTGTGACACTGGCGTCCCATATGAGCGTAGCTGTGGGTCACAGCTGTTCCACTTTCCATCCAGCTCCCTGCTAATGTGCCCAGGAAAGCAGTTGCTTGGACCCCTGCCGCCCACATGGGAGACCCTAATGGAGTTCCAGGCTCCTGATTGCAGACTTATCCAGCCCCAACTATTGGGGCCATTTGGGGAGTGAACCAGCGGATGGAAGATCTCTCTCCCTTTCTGTGTCCCTCCCTCCCCACCCCTGTGTAACCTTTCAACGAAATAAATAAATCTTTTTTAAAAACTATCTCATGTCAAATAATAAACTGTGATTTTTTTTACCATTAGTGTTATTAAAAAGGATGTGAAAGTCCTTAGCCACCACATTAATGATAATAGTACCCTCAGATGAATGGGTTCTTATATCATACATACCTGTGGCAATATTCGGGATTAAAAGCAGTGTCTAGCAGACTTGTTTTTACTTCACTGCATTTTCTTCAGTTCAAGAAAATCTTGGGCCGGCACCACGGCTCACTTGGCTAATCCTCCGCCTGCGGCGCCGGCACCCCGGGTTCTAGTCCCAGTTGGGGCGCCGGATTCTGTCCCGGTTGCTCCTCTTCCAGTCCAGCTCTCTGCTGTGGCCCTGGGAAGGCGGTGGAGGATGGCCCAAGTGCTTGGGCCCCTGCACCCACATAGGAGACCAGGAGGAAGCACCTGGCTCCTGGCTTCGGATCAGCATGGCGGCCATTTGGGGAGTGAACCAAAAGAAAAGGAAGACCTTTCTCTCTGTCTCTCTCTCTCTCTCTCACTATCTAACTCTGCCTGTAAAAAAAATAAACAAACAAGAAAGGAAGGAAAGAAAAGGAAGTTCTTACAAAAAAAGAAGTGAATGCAACATGTAAAATATTGACTCTTCTTTAGGTTACCAAAAACAGAAAAACAAAGTAAAGCATTTTTAGGTCATTGACACTTTAGTAGTTGGTAATAAAGTCTTGGCTGCATACCTCACAACTGATGCCACCTCCATACAGATGTGTTCAAAGCTATTGCTGTATAGACTGCACATGATGAATCCAGCATTTACTCTGAGACTTATGCCTGATATTAATACGTTTTATTTTTAGGGAACAAGTAGATAGAGTGATATGGGTAAGGCCAGATGAATATGAATTCATTTTTCAATCCTTATAAAGTAAAAGATATTGACAGTTGTCTTTTGTTTTTTATTTGACAGATAGAGATAGACAGTGAGAGAGACAGAGAAAGGTCTTCCTTCTGTTGGTTCACCCCCAAAATGGCCGCTACGGCAAGAGCTATGCCAATCTGAAGCCAGGAGCCAGGTGCTTCCTCCTGATCTCCCATGCAGGTGCAGGGCCCAATGACCTGGGCTGTCCTCCACTGCCTTCCGGGCCACAGCAGAGAGCTGGACTGGAAGAGGGGCAACCGGGACTAGAACCAGGTGCCCATATGGGATGCCGGCACCACAGGCGGAAAATTAACCACGTGAGCCATGTCTCTGGCTCCTACAGTTGTCTTTTTGAGTCTGTATTTACCAGTTTCAAGAACACAATTCAGGAACCTTCGTTGTGACATAGTAGGTTAAGCCTCCCCCTGTAGCACCAGCATTCCATATGGATGCCGGTTCTAGTCCTGGCTGCTCCACTTCCAGTCCGGCTTCCTGATAATAGCCTGGGAAAGCAATGGAAATGGCCTAAGTCCTTGGTCCTTGGACCCCTGTACCCACATGGGAGACCCAGAAGAAGCTCCTGGTTCCTGGCTTTGGATCAGCCCAGCTCCAGCCATTGTGGCCATTTGGGGAATGAACCAGAGAGGAAGACATTCTCTCTCTCTCTCCTCCCCCATCTGTAACTCTGCCTCTATAATAAATAAATAAATCTTAAAACACGCACACACACACACACACACAGAGTTCATGAGGAAATAAAGGACTTTTGTTTTTGTTTATGTTGACAGTCTATACTCATGTAAAAATATGTACATATATAAAAATGTGGACACGGGCATATTTGCATATGTAGGAATGTATTTGTCATTTATATACCATGTCATCAGATCCAACAACCAGCTGATGAGGTACATCTGACTATGAAATATAATCAAAACCACTTGGTTATCACACACACACACACACACAGTGTTTCCATGCACTGCCTAATGTACTCTGTGGAGCAGAATCACACCCAATTATTTGATAATATATCAGTGAGGAATAAAAATACAATACAAACTGTAAGGATAACAAGCCATTAAAATTTCTTGTAATTTATTGCACACATTAGTAAATTCTTAGTAGTTCAAAAACTGGACTAATATTGTATGTATATTCTAATGTTCGTTCTTCTTCCTTTAATTTTAGCTAACTTAATTCCTCTGTGACTTTTATGCCTATACTCATGTTTGTATTTTTTTATCATCATTTCTTTTTAATTTTCTTTTAGGAAGAAGAAGAACGCAATTTGTATGTGGGTGATTCTTATACTTGCTTTTTGTGGTATTTTAGAGTTAGGTAAGTAATGCACGATTGAATACAAAGTTAATTAATGCTTCTAAAGAGTATTTAGCTTCAACTTTTAATTAATCCAAATAGATTATCTACATAAAGGTTTCCATACAAGCTTTCATTTCCCAGCCAAGATATTCTCAAATATACTGCAATATATCAATAATAATAATTAATATTAATAGCAATATAAACAAATCATCAATATTACTAATTATTAATAAATTAATAGATAATAATTAATGATAATTATTAATATTGGTAATAATTAATATATAGTACTGAACATAGACTAGATAAAGAAATTATGGGACATGTACTCTATAAAATACTATACAGCAGTAAAAAGCAATGAAATCCGGTCATTTACAACAAAATAGAGGAATCTGGAACACATCATGCTGAGTGAAATAAGCCAGTCCCAAAGGGATAAATATCATATGTTCTCCCTGATTGATGACAACTGACCGAGCACCAAAAAGGAAACCTGTTGAAGTGAAATGGACACTGTGAGAAACAGTGACTTGATCAGCCCTTGTCCTGACTGTTGATGAACAACTTAATACATTATTCCTTTTAGTATTTTTTTGTCCTACTTAATACTATTGGTTGAACTCTGTAATTAACACACAATTATTCTTAGGTGTTTAAATTTAACTAAAAAGTGATCTCTGTTAAATATAAGAGTGGGAGGCCAGTGCCACGGCTCACTAGGCTAATCTTCCACCAGCAACCCGGGTTCTAGTCCCGGTCAGGGCGCCGGATTATGTCCCGGTTGCTCCTCTTCCAGTCCAGCTCTCTGTTGTGGCCCGGGAAGGCAGTGGAGAATGGCCCAGGTCCTTGGGCCCTGCACCCGCATGGGAGACCAGGAGAAGCACCTGGCTCCTGGTTTCGGATCAGCGCGATGTGCCGGCTGCAGTGCGCCAGCCGCAGTAGCCATTGGGGGGTGAACCAAGGGAAAAGGAAGACCTTTCTCTTCATCTCTCTCTCTCTCTCACTGTCCACTCTGCCTGTCAAAAAAAAATATAAGAGTGGGAATAAGAGAGGGAGGAGATATACAATTTGGGACATGCTCAATCTGACTTGCCCCAAACGGTAGAGTTAGAAACATGCCAGGGGAATCCAATTCAATCCCATCAAGGAGGCATGTACCAATGCCATCTCACTAGTCCAAGTGATCAATTTCAGTTCACAGTTGATCATAATGATAAGTCTAAGAGTCAAAGAGATCACATAAACAAGACTAGTGTCTGCAAATACTATGTGATAGAATTAAGGAGAGAACGATCCAACATGGGAAGTAGGATACACAGCAGACTCATAGAATGACAGATGTCTCAAATAGCACTCTGGCCTCAGAATCAGCCCTTAAGGCATTTGGATATGGCTGAAGAGCCCATTAGAGTATTTTAGGCATGGAAAGCCAAGACACTCTGCCAAATATAGGAATAACATAAAACAACCAAACACCTAAATGAAAGATCTCTGTGAGTGAGATCCCAGTGGAAAGAACAGGGCCATTGAAGAAGGAGGTACCTTTCTCTGAAGGGAGGAGAGAACTTACACTTTGACTATGACCCTGTCAGAATAAGATTGAAGTCGGCGAACTCAAAAGGCTTCCATAGCCTTGGCAACTCATGACAAGAGCCTAGGGAGATTACTGACGCCATAAACAAGAGTGTTGAATTGTTAAGTCAACAACAGGAGTCACTGTGTACTTATTTCTCGTGTGGGATCTGTCCTTAATGTGTTGTCCAGTGTGAAGTAATGCTATAACTAGTACTGAAACAGTATTTTACACTTTGTGTTTCTGTGTGGGTGCAAACTGATGAAATCTACTTAATATATACTGAATCGATCTTCTGTATATAAAGATAATTGATAATGAATCTTGATGTGAATGGAATGGGAGAGGGAGCAGGAGATGGGAGGGGTGCAAGTGGGAGGGAAATTATGGGGGGGAATCCAATGTAATCCATAAAATGTACTTTGGAAATTTATATTTACTAAATAAAAAAAAGGAGAGAACGAGCCAACATGGGAAGTGGGATACACAGCAGACTCACAGAATGGCAGATGCCCTAAACAGCACTCTGGCCTCAAAATTAACCCTTAAGGCATTCAGATCTGGCTGAAGAGTCCATGAGAATATGTTAGGCATGGAAAGCTAAGACACTCTGGAAAAAAAAAAAAAAACTAAATGAAAGATCTCTGCGAATGAGATCCCAGTGGAAAGAACAGGCCATCAAAGAAGGAGATACCTTTCTCTGAAGGGAGGAGAGAACTTCCACTTTGAGTATGACCTTGTCTAAATAAGATCAGAGTTGGCAAACTCAAAAGGCTTCCATAGCTTTGGCACTCATGACAAGAGCCTCGGGTAATTACTGACGCCATAAACAAGAGTGTCAAATTGTTAAGTCAACAACAGGAGTCACTGTGCACTTACTCCTATTAGGATCTCTGTTCTTAATGTGTTGTTCAATGTGAATGCTATAACTAATACTCGAACAGTATTTTACACTTTGTGTTTCTATGTGGGTGCAAACTGTTGAAATCTTAATATATACTAAATTGATCTTCTGCATATAAAGATAATTGAAAATGAATCTTAGGCCGGCGCCGCGGCTCACTAGGCTAATCCTCCGCCTAGTGGCACCGGCACACCGGGTTCTAGTCCTGGTCGGGGCGCCGGATTCTGTCCCGGTTGCCCCTCTTCCAGGCCAGCCCTATGCTGTGGCCAGGGAGTGCAGTGGAGGATGGCCCAGGTGCTTGGGCCCTGCACCCCATGGGAGACCAGGAAAAGCACCTGGCTCCTGGCTCCTGCCATCGGATCAGCGCGGTGCACCGGCCGCAGCGCGCCGGCCGCAGCGGCCATTGGAGGGTGAACCAACGGCAAAGGAAGACCTTTCTCTCTGTCTCTCTCTCTCACTGTCCACTCTGCCTGTCAAAAAAAATAAATAAATAAAAATAAATAAAAAATAAAAATAAAAAAAAAAAGAAAATGAATCTTGATGTGAATGGAATGGGAGAGGGAGCGGGAGATGGGAGGGTTGCGGGTGGGAGGGAAGTTATGGGGGGGAAGCCATTATAATCCATAAACTGTACTTTGGAAATTTATATTTATTAAATAAAAGTTAAAAAAAGGTAATACTGAACAACAAATAATAATAATAGCAACCACTATTTGTACACATATTATGTCTATATATTCATATTATATATATGTTGTCTTTCTCAATTTTTATGATAACCAGATACGTATTAAATTATTTTAGAGAAAAAGAAAGTAAGCTTGCATGGGTTAAATCATTTGGATAAATATACAAAGCCGCTACAAGATAGCATTGGAATTGAACTCTGGCTTTTCGGACAGTGGAGCTCTTCCACTTCCATTATATGCGTTCCTAAGCAACTCTTCCTCTTGCCTCCCTCTTCAAACCTACTTTAACATGAGAACTAATGAATATAAATAAGAAGAGAAAACAAATGCAAGAATCCATAATCAACTGCATAGTAAAAGTATTCAGTAAGTTTAAAAAGTGTGAGTGACTCAGAAAATGCTTTAATATCATAGTCCAGGCAATATTCCAAGCACTGTGTAGGATATAAAGAAATGTATTATGACTGGAATGTATCTATTTCTTTTTATCTACTTAATGTTCATACTCTTGCGAGGACCATTCCTCCCTATTCTATGATAGCATTTCTAATTCCATGTGACTTGTCTGGTACTAACTCTGCAAACCCGCACTTCACTGGCTGCAGTTATTAGTTGAAGATTGGCACATGACCCAGGCAGAACCAACCAGAATACTCAGGTTTTCAGTAAAGAGTGATTGTTGCTGAGAGCTTCATTGTCCAGGTCCACATGGACCCTTAAAGTCAGAGGATTCTGCAGTTTATATGAAAGTTTTGGACTGTAAATCCTCGGCCAGACTGTAAGTCCTGATAATGCTCCAGCAAGCATCACCAGAAGCACCACGGGGCCATTCTTCTCTAACATACTGCCACACCTTCCCAGACTCTCACTGCGGAGCGAGGGTTGACTCTACTACTCGTGGAACTGGCAGATTTCACTTGTTGTTCATAGTTTCAGTGGTGCATGCCGGAGACCAGCTCCAGCCAGTTCAGGGGCCCTGAGGTGTGAGAGGTGTCGGTGCTCGAAGAAATGAGAGACACTCACAGCAAGGCTGACGGCATGGCTCTGGCTTTTGAGCACCAGATTTTATTTTTATATTATAAGCCACACAATGATTTTTTCTTCTTACAATGAAAAGCCTGTTGTCCATTTTTCCTAATTACAATTTTTTTGATTTTCAAGGGCATACTCAGAGCATAGGTTACAATCACAGACAGGTGCAAGATAACAGGCTGCCCACACAAGCCAAGGCCTCGAGTGCTGCTGAACTTTGCAGAAATTGGCTACATAGGCTAGAATAGTACCTTCCTAATCTAATCTTTACTAGAAGCCCAAAGTTCAAAGCAGACCCTTTTTAAAATGTATCCCCTCTTTGCAATTTTTTCTGTAATTTTTTAATTTCTTTATTGCACTTATTTAAAGGTTTACCCAGGGCCGGCGCTGTGGCTCAATAGGCTAATCCTCCGCCTTGCAGTGCCGGCACACCGGGTTCTAGTCCCAGTTGGGGCGCCGGATTCTGTCCCGGTTGCCCCTCTTCCAGGCCAGCTCTCTGCTATGGCCCGGGAGTGCAGTGGAGGATGGCCCAAGTCCTTGGGCCCTGCACCCCATGGGAGACCACCCGACTCCTGGCTTTGGATCAGCACGATGCGCCGGCTGCTGCGCGCCGGCTACGGCGGCCATTGGAGGGTGAACCAACGGCAAAGGAAGACCTTTCTCTCTGTCTCTGTCTCTCTCTCACTGTCCACTCTGCCTGTCAAAAAAAAAAAAAAAAAGACATCCTAACCATTGTAGTATTTGTAGCATATAGTGAATTAAAGCTTTATTAGCATCTATCTTTATTCTAGTGGGAAGTATATACCAGAGAGCC